AAACTCACATTTTCACATCTGCTTGAGGGCCCAACTCTCCCCAGCTAATAGTAGAACAGTGGGGGATTTTTTTCTCTGTAAGGTTTCACTTCAACTGCCACAACAACTTTATATAACCTATCCTCCTCTAAATAACTATCTGCCTACTTTAGACCTGACATATTTTATTATCCTTTTGTGCAAATTAAAAAGAAGTCTACTGCGAGGTTATGAGACCTTTTTTAGCAGACAAACATATTTTTTTTAATTTTCAGTCTCTTGGCACAAAAGGATAAAAAAATTGAGAAGATAAGAGAAGAGACAGATATCATTCCCAACAATGAATGACACATAATAACTAGTGATTACACATACTGGAGGAGTAGGTGTTTGTGCAAAAAAATAAAGATGACAGGAAAAATTGAAAAAGCATAATCTTATAAAAATGACTGATGTTAGAATTGTAATCTTCACAAAATACATAAGATTTAATCAATATCATGTTTAGTAGTCTCTGTCAAACAGTCAGGCAGAGATATATGAAGTCTATTGTTAGCACACACGTTTCCTACATTATTGTGGCACTTCCATTCTGTAGTGGGCAATCAGCACACTTATCTGTTCATCATTCATTGTCTTACTCTGTAATTCTGGGGTAATAATGAGGGAAGGAAGACAATTAACAACAATCTTCCTTTACACAGAGCTATATACCGTATATATAGGGAGCTGTAGTAAATATTATTATTATTATTATTAGGATTAGACATGTAAGGGGGCAAAAACTTTGTTTCTGATTTTTCTTTCTTTCAGGTTTTAGGTCCAAATGCTGTTTTGTTATTCAGATTTGGATCTTTTGGATTTTTGTTTTAGAGGGTTATTCACAAAGCTGCCAAAGGCAGTCGAGTGAATAATCCACCAGAAGTGAAGTGAGCCGAAAGCTGCACTTTGGTACAGCCAAACATGCTCTGCATGTTCGACTGAGCCGAAGTGAAGAAGGAGTTAGATTCAGTTGATCCAACAACATACTACTCGCTGCCATTCGGCCTATTCTCATAGCCGAACAGCAGTGAGTGAATAGCTTAATGCCGCCGAGCGACATTCGGCTCGGCTATTCTGCTTGTTACCTCCATGGGACCGAGCAGGTTAGAAAAAGTGAAAAAAGTAGAATTTTTTTACAAATGTAAATAAATAATCAATTTTAAAAAAGAAAGATTTAAAAAAAAGAAAAAATTGAAAATTATTGGAAAAAAAAATTAAAAAAGCAAACAATTGGGCGGAGCTAGCAGTGACAGCTAGCTCCACCCAACTGTTTCCTATTGGCCGGGACCTGCCAGAGTCTTCTAGCAGGTCCGG